TTGAATTACCCCCATTTTTAGAACTGGGCCAATCAGAAAACAGCCGAAGACCACCAAACCCCCAGTTCTATAAGCCTGCTACGGAGGCTAATCAGAAAACAGCCGAAGACCACCAAACCCCCAGTTCTATAAGCCTGCTACGGAGGCTAATCAGAAAACAGCCGAAGACCACGAACCCCCAGTTCTATAAGCCTGCTACGGAGGCTAATCAGAAAACAGCCGAAGACCACCAAACCCCCAGTTCTACAAGCCTGCTACGGAGGCTAATCAGAAAACAGCCGAAGACCACCAAACCCCCAGTTCTACAAGCCTGCTACGGAGGCTAATCAGAAAACAGCCGAAGACCACCAAACCCCCAGTTCTATAAGCCTGGTACGGAGGCTAGAAGAAGGATTCCACCAGGGCATAAGGCATGATGCTTGGCCCTCCCCTCTCATCCCTATCATAAATTGCTAAGATGAAAAATGTCCAGACTATGCATGATGTACAAAATGACTAATAAACTGGGTGGACGTACCAACCACTAAGTATCTGATACCAGCCCAGAAAACAACAAGAAACAGTCATGCATTCAAATATCAAAGTTATCAACCAAGAATTAAGGTGTTAAAAAACTCGTACTTTAAGAACTATCGTAGAGTGGAACTCGCTGCTACCAAGCACAGTTGTGGCATTAATGTGCAAAGATTGGGTGTAACAGATCTTTCAGTGTAATGTAGCTAGCTGCCGCTGCACCACGTGCCTTTGATTGAAGCTGGTGTGTTACGCCGACATATACAGATACAGATGCAGAAATGACTCTCCCCTGGCTCTAGCCAAGAGGCCAGCTGAAGACCCTCCCCTGTGTATACTGCACGGTCCCTTCAGTGGTGGGAAAAGAGGAAATCCTTTTAATCTACTGCGCTTTAATCTGCACATTTGTTGAAATGTTTACCCAAATCTGTGTTGGTGTTTACCAGAAAAGCGACGTGTTTACCAGGCGGACATTTTTGCATGGCATGTTGGGTAAAACTCCAGGTGGCACCGTTTTTGCCCAGAGTAAATAAACATAAACAAAAGTGGGACCGTGTTTCTGACAGGAGACTGATTTGTTGTAACCCGCTGCCCCCTGTGAAAGTCTAAGTCTAAGAGCTGTCCTCAAGACTTGGAGATAAGGAGAGATGGGCTCTTGAAGAAAGCATAAATCTTAAGGTGTTGGAAACAGCCTTGTCTTCTGTAGAAGAATCTTGAAAGTTGAATAGCAGAGGACAACTCGAAGGTGGCAGCAGGTGAAGTTATCCTACTATTGAAAAGCGTGTTTCCTCTACATTAAAAAGAAATCAAAGAAATTGGTGTTTGAAATGAAAGGGGCGGGTTGATTTTAAACAGTTATCGATCTTGTGCCGGGCGACATACTTGTAACTGGAAACATTCAGGATAATGTTATAATACTTTGCACTTGGATACAGAGGTTTAGGATTTCTCTGATCTTTTGGTTTTGCACTTACATATATGTTCACTAACAAGTGTGGACATTTGACATCCTCAAGTCTTCACCCGCATGTCTTCGCTAAGCCAAGATGGTGTCATAGGGAAGACCCTCATCCTTATATCAGCCTGGGTCTTAGTTAAAAGTTGTCTTGTCTTTTTACTCCTGAGATGGAGGCTACCTTGTACCTTCTTGAACAGTTCTTACCTCAACCCTGGGGTCTCCCCAGAAATTCTAAGGGAAGGGGTGCTCCCTAATCAGTTGATGAAAAATCAGTGAATTTTCGCGGAAATACTAAGAGAAAACTCTAAATTTGATCATTTTGGGAGGGGTGCTAGGATTTTGCTTGGGGAGAGCCCTTCTGACTGTGGTGAACGTAGAAAGTAAAGGAAACAGGCCATGTATTTGGCTTGAGGCTGGTTGGGGCACAACAGAAGCATTTCTCCCTTGACTTTACAACTTTAATTTCTGAGGTTTTCTCTCACATTTAACCTTGCCTGATGAAACTATCACCCTGCAGCAGTAGTGTGTAACTGTTGTTTTGGGAGTAACTTCTCCTGGATTCCGTAGTTATTCCTGGCCGTTCCCTGATATTGATAAGATTCCAGGGATGTTTGTAGACGACTCACCGGAAACCCAACATTCCACCAGAACATTCCTTCATGTCATGTGGTCAGTGTAGGAATTTCTGACATAAATTACAGCGGAGAAAAGTCCAGCCTTGTCCTGTGATTTCATTACCAGTTTTCTCGCCAGGATTTTTTCACAGCATAGGGGTTAGGTACAGAAGTCCACTTTCGCGGTGCAAGTCACGTATTGACCTGAAAAAAATTGAAACTCATAACCCCCTGAGACACTTTTTAACATTTTGATGGACAGATTTTGCGAAGTTAAAGGTTTTCCCTTTGCTAAATCATTTTTAAAGTGATATTTTCATTCTTTAGCATTTTATTGACTTTCTTTAAAAAAAACACCCCTATGCCAGTTAAAAGACAGAATAGGGGTCCAAATCACAGCATAGGGGGTCCAAATTACAGCATAGGGGGCCCCTATGCTCAAAAGGCCTTGGGAGAACACTGATTACTCACACTCAGAGCTCCTCCTGTCTTGTGGTGATCTGAGCTTCTAGTGCCACCTGTTAAGCCCCCCTCCCCACCCGCATGTCCTTGGGTGACCTTGAGATTCCTGTCATACCAGAGAAACTTTAATCCCAGTTCTGGAGGCGTGACCTTGCCAGGTTACACACATCTGGGCACAGGTGGTCCCTAACACCCCAGTCCAGCCACTGGGGCAGAAACACGGACTTACATGGGGTGGAATCAATACGAAAATAATGCATAATGTCAATGATGCCAAGTTTTCTTAGCATGGATGCTAGACTGGTTTGCAGGGCAGTCCCTAAATGCAATGAAGACCTTGGGTCTAACTACAAGCAATTTTGCATGTATTTTTTAAATCGCATGTAAGATGTTTGCTAGCATGCAATGTTGTATATGCCATGGGTTTAGGAATTAGATCTTAAGATCTTTAGACTTTAAGTGTGTATTTGCAGAAAGTATTTCTGAATTGCAGAACAAAATCTTGACATTCTGCAATATTGCAGGGCACTGAAAAAAGTATTTCTACCACTGCATGACCGTGATGAGTACTTGTGATGATGCACATCCATGTACTATGATGTAGTGCACTGCAGTACCTTCCCCTGAGGATTGATCTAGCCTGTATGCTAGCCCTTGCTACAGTCTGGCACCCAGGCTAGCCCTGGAGCCTAGGAGCTAGCCTGACGGCTGTATACAGGCCCTGGCAACAGTCTGGCACCCAGGCTAAGTTTCAATTGTTAGCATGTCCATGATCAGTGTGATGATGTACATCTACGTGTATGTAGTGCATTGCAGAACCTTCCCCTGAGGATTCATCATGAATCATACAATATTATTGTCTAACCCAGCAGCTTCCTCTTGGCACGCTGCCAGCAGACTAATATCCCGGCACTGTCGCCCTGGTGTTCGTTACCTCGTTAGGGATATTCGTTAGGGATATTCGTTAGGGATACAAACCATTTCACCCCACGGTGGAACTGGCACCAGTGGGGGATACAGACTCTCATGTTTAATTACCTGCCACATGTTTTGATTGTGCTTCTGAGCATAACTTTTTTTCTAGCAACATTTCCTGTGCACACCAAGCTGTCAGGGCATATTCTGCTTTTGTAATATTGTAGAAGAAAATTGTGTTGATCTGATTCTGACATCATAGATACATACTTACAGTAGATTCTGACTAGGTGACCTCCCTGCTCCCTAACCCAATACCTGATACAAATTTGGTGCCAAATGTCTGTACCTTTGCAAGCTTAAGGTTATTGACAATGGCTCTGACAGACTGTGTTCTTACAGCTTTACCATCCAACTATTTTAATTGTGTGTAACATTTGATATACAGTTTGATTCTCAAGGAAGTGTCCTAAATCTTTGTTCACTGTGCACAAATGATTCCCAATATGACTGTAGCTATATCATAAAGGCTTTCATATAGGTGTGGAAGAAAGCACTGAAGTGAATTCGAAGTGAACCCCTGTGTTGCTTAAGTCCCCCTGTCCTCACATGTCTTGACCTTGGCATTCCGTCTTAAACCACAGGCATGTCTTTAAAACCACAGGCACGTCTGTAATGCCAAACGCCTCACAAGAATCCTTGTGGCTGCTCCCCTCCCCTGTATCAGGTGTCGGCAGGGCCAGGTCCAAACTTGAGACACAAATCCTCTGAGATGTCCTGTGGATACTCTGAGACATCCTGCTAAGCCTTAGATGTGTAAGACTTTGTCAGGCACTTAGCTGCCGCGCTGGAGCGTCTTAAAGTCTCAGTCAAGTGTTTCCAGTCTGATCCACGCGAGGAGAGTACTTACTGAGTAGCTGTAAGACATCCGTAAACTTCCTTAGCTCTTCTTGAGACTCGCTGGAAATAGCAGGAACATCTGAAGAAGTTGCCTTAGTCGTTGAGAAGCGTGAATTTCTTCCTTGTTACTAAACATCAGATTTAAGCTTGATGGAATTCATGACTGTTTTGCAAATTACAGCCTTGTCTTTGAGTTTGAGCTGTACCAGTGGGGCCTACAAATACTCATGTTTAAAAGTTCCTGCAACATAACTTATATTCAAAATCATGATTCTGAGCGGAGTTTTTTTCTTGTGACATTTTCTGCAACAAGTTGTCCTTACATATTCTGCTTTTGTAGGCAAAAATTGTTGATCTGACATCATAGATGAATGTTACCTTGTCTGTGTTTTGTTTCCTAAGTAGGATTGCAAAGCTGGGATTTGAACACCTATTCTTGCGATCTAAAGTGTGATACCATCATGAATTTGACCCTGACCTTAGTCGACATAACTGACCGTGTGTGTATTTTGTTTCAGAAGCAGGATTGCAAAGCATGGATTTGAACCCCTATTCTAACAATGTGATCTAAAGTGCTATATAGCATGAATTTGACCCTTATATAACTGACCGTGTGTGTACTCTGTATTTTGTTCCAGACTTCGCCCAGCACGAGCCATTCCACGCAGACCACTCCCTAGCTAGAACCTATCCTCCCTCTACCTACCAACCTACCAACCAACCAACATGGCGTCCGCTACTGTCACGTCCGGGGACGACAGGCCTCGCGTTCTCGTTACCGGGGCAACGGGCTTCATCGCCTCCCATATCGTGCAGCAGCTGCTGGAGTCCGGACAGTACACCGTCCGCGGAACGGTCCGGGACCTCACGCAGAAAAACAAGGTAAGGACAAACAAACAAACAAACACACCGTCCGCGGGACCGTCCGCGATCTCACGCAGAAAAACAAGGTAAGGACAAACAAACAAACAAACACACCGTCCGCGAGACGGTCCAGGACCTCACGCAGAAAAACAAGGTAAGGACAAACAAACAAACAAACACACCGTCCGCGGAACGGTCCGGGACCTCACGCAGAAAAACAAGGTAAGGACAAACAAACAGACAAACAAACAAACACACCATCCGCGGAACCGCCCGGGACCTCACGCAGAAAAACAAGGTAAGGACAAACAAACAAGCAAGGTAAGGACAAACAAACAAACAAACACACTGTCAGCGGGACCTCACACAGAAAAACAAGGTAAGGACAAACAAACAAACAAACACACCGTCCGTGAGACTGTCCGGGACCTCACGCAGAAAAACAAGGTAAGAACAAACAAACAAACAAACAAACAAACACACCGTCCACGGGACCGTCCGCGACCTTACGCAGAAAAACAAGGTAAGGACAAACAAACAAACAAACAAACACACCGTCCGCAGAAAAACAAGGTGGGTAAAACAAACTAAGAAACATTCTACTCCCAGATATTGGCTGTTTGAACTGTTATCCTCCCTGTCATTGGTTGTTGAAACTGTTTTCTCCCCTGTGATTGGTACAGATCGCCCACGGAGATGGTAAAGTGATTGCCTGCTTGAACTGTTATCCTCCCCATGATTGGCTGTTGAAATTGTTATCCTCCCTGTGATTGGCTGTTCAAACTGTTATCTCCCCTGTGATTGGCCCAGATCGCCCACCTGAAGGCGATGGTGAACAATGATTGGCTGTTTAAACTGTTATCCTCCTCTGTGATTGGCCCAGATCGCCCACCTGAAGGCGATGGTGAACAGTGACTGTTATCCTCCCCATAATTGGCTGTTTAACCTGTTATCTCCCCTGTGGTTGGCTCAGATTGCCCACCTGAAGGCGATGGTGAACAGTGATTGGCTGTTTAAACTGTTATCCTCCTCTGTGATTGGCCCAGATCGCCCACCTGAAGGCGATGGTGAACAGTGACTGTTATCCTCCCTATGATTGGCTGTTTAACCTGTTATCTCCCCTGTGATTGGCTCAGATTGCCCACCTGAAGGCGATGGTGAACAATGACTGTTATCCTCCCCATAATTGGCTGTTTAAACTATTATCTCCCCTGTGATTGGCCCAGATCGCCCACCTGAAGGCGATGGTGAACAGTGACTGTTATCCTCCCTGTGATTGGCTGTTTAACCTGTTATCTCCCCTCTGATTGGCCCAGATTGCCCACCTGAAGGCGATGGTGAACAGTGACTGTTATCCTCCCCATAATTGGCTGTTTAACCTGTTATCTCCCCTGTGATTGGCTCAGATTGCCCACCTGAAGGCGATGGTGAACAATGACTGTTATCCTCCCCATAATTGGCTGTTTAAACTGTTATCTCCCCTCTGATTGGCCCAGATTGCCCACCTGAAGGCGATGGTGAACGCCCCTCCTGAGCCGGAACCCGAGCCAGAACCCATCAAGGACGAGAAGATCGAAGAAAAGAAGGACGAGGAGAAAAAGGAGGAGGAAAAGAAGGAGGAGGAGAAGGAGAAAAAGGATGAACCGGAGGAGAAGAAGGAGGAGAAGATCGAGGATGCTGCTGAGGGAGAGAAGAAGGATGAACCCGCAGGTGAATCTTCATTTCATTTCATTTTATTTATTTATACAGGTTAGCATATTGCGATTTTGGCGCTTTTCAAAGCTCCCTGTGACATACATAACATAATAAAAGGTAACTGAAGTACAATCAAAGGGTAATGATAAAAGAAACGGAACAGACTAATAAAGTACATAAAACATACGAAATAAATATGACAAATGATATAAATGGTAATGGAACTGAATTTGCATATCAATGTCTAAAGGCAAAGTGGAAAATTAACAACAAATCATATTATCTGTGGAGTAAAGAAAAGGTAGTTCAACTTTGACATGTAACCTTTGACCGGGGTCACATTCTGCTGTTCTTATAACAATCTGTATGTGAACTGGGCGTTGATGTGTGAACATGAGTGAGCTGGAGGCAAGGAATGGCATGTTTCTTAAAGGACAATCAGGTTTAAAGAAATGTTTAAGGAATCAACTTCCAATGTTATGACTACGTTCAAAGTCAGATGTCCATACTTGGACATGCAGTCGTTGATGACCTTGTATTTCACAAGGTGCTAAGGAAACGTCCTTGGTTTGCGACCTTTGCTTGTGTATACCACATGATAGTGGAGCGTTGACCTGACCCTGACCCTTGACCTGTTTTCCTCCAGCTGATGCAACAACCGAAGAGAAGAAAGAAGAATCAGGTGAGTGGAAGGATTGTTA